GTGATGTGAGAAATGGAAAGATAGAAACTTCCACAGACACTGAAGGGTTTGATCTGCAGCTTTGGGAGAAGCTTGGATTGATGTAAAAATGCAATACACAGACATTAAGCAGAAAAATCATAAACTTGTATTTCTATAGTTGTAAGTAAGAATATGCCTTAAGTAAGTAAAAAAACTGTATTAATAAGATGGTGAAGGGTTTATAATATAGGGGTGTAATTGTATAAAGTAAGAGTTCAGATGTTATAATACAAACATATGTGTGCATGTGAGACAGAAGCCCATTGGATAAAAGTATCCATGGTGCAGCAAAATTAAGTTAAGGTGATAGGTTAGAAAAGCAAAATAAACTTTGTGGCAACTGTCTATTGGATTAGAAAGTTGTGTATTGCCTTGTGACCATTTTGAGCTGTGGCTGACTGCTTGCTCTCTTAAATCTCACAGCCTCTGAGACTGATGTTTATTTGAGCAATAAATTGTTTCTAGCCCAACTGTGGTCCCATCCCTTCATTAAATAATAGCGTCCCCTCTCATGCCCTGAGGTTTCTCTGCTCAGATCTCTTCTCCTTGCATTATCATCCTGTATCTCATGTCACAGTTTCACTGGAATGAAGTATCTCTTTCAGATATATTCTTGTTCAGGTTGGATTTACTTGCCTGACATCCAGATTAGTCTGTGAAACAGAGAATTGGGAATGCCACAACTAACAGTGGATAATTATAATAATTTCTTTCCCTATCAAGGCATTCTTGGACATTTTTTCTTAAAATCTACACAAGAACCCCTGTCCTTTCTTCACAGTTTTCCCACAACAGCCTACCCAAACCAGCAGCACAAAACTCACCAGGAAGACTGACTTTACTTTTCAGGAAATTTTGCTTACTTGACATATTTACAGTTGGTTCACGTTTAGTTTTCTGAATTCCTAACATATTCTGCATATCATGCCCCATTAATGGACCTTTTCTGCATTCCAGGAGATTGCAGCAGGAACCTTCCTCCGAGAGCAATACAAACTTATTCCAGAGAAACTGTGGTTCCCAGTGTAAGCCCAGGGCAGCTTAGGAGTATGTGGACAAGGAATATCCCTAGCTAGCATGGTACATGTGAGAAGGTCACAGGCAGGAAGTAAGGAACAGCAGGAAAAATGGAATAAAACCAGGAAAGTTGTGAGACACAAATTTCAGAGGACAAACGCTGAAAGATTCAGATTTAGGGTGATGAGATGCAAAGAGCTTTGTATAAAGGGATTATTTATCATCTTCTTCCACCCCCCTGCCATGGGACACCTTCCACCATCCCAGGCTGCTCCAAGCCCTGTCCAGCCTGGCCTCCGACACTCCCAGGGATCCAGGGGCAGCTCCAACTGCCCTGAGCACCCTGTGCCAGGGCCTGCCCAGCCTCACAGAGAAAAATTTCTTCCTGCAGTGCTCCCAAGCAGTCCATGCTTGTCTGTCTGCTGTCCTTCTGTCCTTGGGAGAGCCCAGGCAGTGCAGACAAGTTAAAATAATTGCACTGCATCCAACTCTGGGGCCCCAGCACAGGAAGGACATTGACCTGTTGGAGCTTTAAAAAACAGTGTTACCACCTCTCCTCCCCAGCTAATCCCTGAGAAAAGGAAAAGAAATAGCAGATCCATTTAGAAGAATGTTACCACAGCAAAATAAGAAGTATAAAATTAGTGTATTTTAGGATGGCATTTGCCTAGGCAATCTTGATTCTGTCTCTTGTGCATATTTATGAGGGTAGACACTGAAATCCTAATTTCCCAAAAGTCCGTGGGCTATTTGACATGGACTTCAGAGATGCCAGTGTTTCACCCACAGCTTCACCTACACACACACAGATTTCAGATGCAGATTTTATCATTAAATCCTTTCCTCTTTTACAGAGCTGTCTGAATTGAAGTCTTTTATTTTCCCTTCCCTACATATAGTGTGTGGCCCAGTGCCTTATTTACTGCACACATATAAAGTCTACATTGAATATAGGAGTTGAAATTTCTCATGACTCTTTTTCATCACAAGTCCTTATTGTTCTTCTGAGTCTTACATGTCCTGTGAAAGCATCTTTAGACTTTTTTGTCTAGCAAAAATGCATTTTGAAGCATTTGCATTACACCAGTTCTGTTTTGTAGATTGGAACCACCAGCACAGAGAAATATACATAAATTTGTCTAATGCCTGCTAACTCTAAGCTCTGAATTATTCATAAGTCTGATTTATTCAGAAATCTTCAGTCTTTTACATCTCGAGCAAAATTTCTGTTCATCTTAGTTTTTGTTATGAGCTCTCACCATTTTTGCCAATCAAGCTCCATTTATTCTGAGTTATCAAAAAAACAGAGTTCACTCACATTAGTGGTCATCTAAAGTCTGACAGGATTGCCAAAACTGCCAAAGGACATGGAACAGAAACCAGAAATGTGTCTTCATTGCCTGATCTCACTATATAGCATGTGGGGGACTAACGAGATGCCAAGACAGCTAAATTCAAAGTCAGAGGGAGTGTGAACCTTCTTGTCCCACCCCACCTAGAAGTCTCCCGACTGCAAACTTACAACTGGTTGGGCTGGTGCCTAAGAAGATGTAAACACAATTTTAAAAAATCCACATCCAGATTCACTGTTCTTTGCATGCTTGAAATACTCAGTAAAGTCAACAGGAATGCTGTCAGTCAAATAAGGACCAGGTTTTGCTTGGGCAGCACATTTTTGCTGAAAAGCGTGTGATTATGTTGGCATTCAGCTATAAAGTAGGAATTAAGGATTTACTGATTTAACACTTCACTTGTTATTACAGGTCTTGAACCTAAACCAAGAAAGGAAAGAAGCAGTGAAAGAGATATGGGAAACTATAGGCAGGATTCTAAAGCAGTGGTAGTAATTTGCTAAATATGTGGTGTACTGAGGCTAAAAAATCTAACACAGCCACTAATCCTGAGATTTCTCCATGAAACACCTGTTTGCTGTTAAGGATCAGGGACATCTAAGGCTTTTGGTTACAAAGAGAGGAGAAGAATATTATCTGAAACCCACTACAAAAAAAAAAAAAAAAAAAAAAAAAAAAAAAAAAAAAAAAAAAAAAAAAAAAAAAAAAAAAAAAAAAATTTAATAAATTTAAAAAAAGAAAAAAAGAAAAGAAAAGAGGAAAGTCTAATTAATGTAATATCAGGGTTGCTAATCCCTTGGGAGTGGACAAAGACAAAATAAAATAATCTTCTATGTGCTGGGATGCATTCATTGCACAAGTGCCTCACAAGTCAGGGAAGGAAGCAGCAATAAGAGCCAAGGGTTACTGCTGCTCAAACAAAGAGATGTTCAGGTTCCCAAAGCAAGTCCAAAATGACAAGACCCAAAAGAGAACAGCAAGCAGGGCTCCAGACAGGGGAACAGGACTCTGGGACCCAAATGCCACTGGACCTCCTCAGATGGCAGAACCATCCCACCTTTGCACTTACGTTCAGGTGCTTGGAAGTTGGCAGCACCAGCATGGAAACACCTGGGAGAATGTTTGTATCCATACTGAACTGGGTATGAGGCAGAGCACTGAGTGCTCAGTCAAGGATGATCAGTGCAGCCAAAAGCCTGAGGGAAGCCTTTGCAAAGGTTGGAGTGTTCTTGTGGTGACATTTTCAAATGCAAGCTCAACAGTCACACGCCCTTCATATTCTGCAAAGGCTGTGTCTTCCTGCAAAGCCTGCAGCAGAAGGAAGGCACAAAAACCCCAGCTGATCAGAGCCTAGGGCTCCATTATATATTAAATTAATTCCCAAATCTGTTTCTGCAAACAGCCCTTCTGCAAAACCAGTGCAGGTTTTGCTGGGCACGATTAATTTATGGATGTTGTAACTGTGTTTGCAAATTCTCAGGTTGTTCCTCAGCCCTTTATCCAGGTGAAATTCCCATTTAAATAGAAAGAACGGTTTGTACCAAGAAAGATTAAATGAAGTAATTATCATTTTTGCTGCTGGAGACCCCACTGCCCAGCATTTAAGCTGCCTCTGTGATATGGGCATTGCTCCTCATCTCAGTTCCTGCCTGAGTGCTCACAGAGCTGCAATACAGGGCTCACCACCCTACACAGGGCATCCACTGAGTTTACAGTTTAGTTTGGCTGAAACATGGCTGAAAACAGGGACTGACTGCTCCTCTATGTCTCTGTATTATTCCTGCTCCAAAATCAAAAGTGAGAATATTTTTTTTGTCTGCACTGCAAAATGTCCTGGTTTTTTTTGCTATATTGACTGCTGTGAAGTCATCAGTCAGTGACAGAGTAAATGAAGCTACATTCTAAACCATACTTTTTGTCATTTATTTTGATGAACAAATAATATTTTAGTTTCCTCATCATGTATTAGTGAATTAAAATAGCTAGCAAAAATTTAGGTCTGATTTCACCGCAGAAAAGTAAAATGAGAAAAGACATTCAAAGAGACTTACTGGCTGTGTAAAAATAACAAAGGGAAAACTGATAAGCTCCTACCCCAGTTTTACTGTTCTTTTGAAACGGAGGGCAAACCAGCTCTGGAATACACACACCTGAATACACACATCAGAACTGAACCATTATTCCATTATTCCATTACACAAACCAGTAACCTCCAAAAGCAGGGTGAAAGCTGGGATCAGGGACTCTTATCTCCTGTGCTCATCTGACACTGAGTAAAGAAAAAGATGTATTTTATGCTTTATTGTTCCACTCTATTTCTATTCCACAGAATAATTTACAAGAACTTTATATCCAAATCACAGAATATTCTGAGCTGGAAGGGACCCACAAGGATCATCGAGTCCAACTCCTCAGGGAATGGCTCAGATCTCATACAGGGACTGAACCCCCAACTTTGTGATTATTAGCACCATGCTCTGACCAGTTGAGCTCATCTCAGGGTCTTCACTCAGTGATATAAAACAGAGGAAAAAGTAAATAGCAGCATTAGGAGGTCTACTGCAGTTAACATCAGTTCTTCACAAATATTCTGGATTTTCACATCCTTACCTGCTGTAGCACTGGAGACTGTTGGCCACTGCTGGTCAGGCCCTGCTGCTCCTCCACGCAGGACTCCTTGCTCCTCCATATGCACAGCACTGGGTAAGCAAATATCACACTTGGGTTATACACTTCTCTGGACTTCTCAACACTTCCCTTTCCTGCTGCTTATCAGAGTTCATAACTATTTATTACTGTGCAGATACTCCTAGAGTACTGCATGATGTTAGCAGCACGAGAAGCAGCTGTTTTGACTTGCAAAAAATACCTTCGATTATTTACTAAAACCCACTCGAGGAGTAACTTATAAAACAAACACACCTGCAGGACACTTTGCTCCCATTGACTGGGAGGCACTAATAAGGAAATGACACATCTTTGCTATTAGGATGTAGCAACATTAGGCAAATTATTAAAAAGTTGGAGTTAGCTCTGAGCTTCTGTCATTATGCCATTTTAACAAATCCCACCTTCCTGGGTTACTGCACATTTCTCGTGAGCAATTCAGGAAGAGAAAGGCATTTTCTCAAATGCAAAAACTAATACAACAAATTTTAGTGTCACATCATGAGCACAGGACATCAAAAGCACCAATTTGCACCTTACATGGAAGGAAAAGAAAAAAAAATATGCTATTTTTAATACAAAACCAAGCATGATGTTTGTGTGCTGTTCCTTAAGAGAAACAGGATTCCATCACTGTGTCCCTGTCTCTGCTCATTGGTTTCACACTCCCTTTCACACTTCCTTAAGCTGAACTTAAGGGCTGGTTTCATCCAAATGTGGCAGACATCCAGGGCACCAAATTTCTACAAGTTTTATGAAAAAATCAGCATTTTATGAAAACCGTCAACTGGGCAGGGCACACAGGCTCAGAACCTGAGATTTCAGGTAAGGATAGGGGCTGCTGATGTGAGAGCAGAGGAACATGGACAATTTCCCAGAAGGGCCCCATTAGTCTTGAGGGATTAAAAAAACCCTTACTTTCCATTAATTGTTCAAGCAGCTTCAGGTAAGACCTTGTCCTTTGTATAGAAAGGAACGTGGATCCACAAGAGCATGCCTGACTCAGGACCAGCAAATAAAGTGCTCAGGTAGGCAGAATTCCTTCTTCCTTCAGGATCCTGCTCCCCACCCAGACTGTCCATTGATTTTGCAGTTATGGAGTACAAAAAAATTGAAAGTCACAGCAGGAATAGAAAAGAAAGAAAGGAGCTTGCCTAGTAGGCCACAAAGTCAAGCTTGCTCTGTCTTCCTTTGCTCTTGGTCCTTGAGGTTTCAATTCCTTTTTACACAGCATCTCAAAGTCAGAGGAGTCACTCTGTGTCCTCAGTCACATGAAGCACAGTGTGACTCTGAATTCAGGACTTCAGTGTCATAAAAGACTCTTGGATAAAGGTACAGCACCACTGCACCAACAATTCTGAGAAACTCATAAAATCCTGCACTTTGCGATGCCACTGGGAATGACTGCAGCCTCAGAACTCCCTCTACACCTGTACAGAAATCTTATTAATCACATCAGATTACACCTGAACATAGAACCAGTATTCTAATCTGCTCAGGAAGAGCAAAAATACTGTTTGATTTAGGCTCTACAGATGCAATTTTAGTATAATTCTCTTTTTCCAAGTGTACTGAGTAGAAAATTATAGCAGAGACTGCTTACGGTATTAGGCAGCGGATTTTCAAAGATGTCTAAAGAGATTTGGACAAAAGCTTCACTTTTCCTTCTTTGAAAATCCATCTCATATCTTCAAAAAATCCTTTCAACTGCATTAATCTTCTTGATTGCAGCATGTGGTTAATAAACCTGCTGCAGGAACAGCTACTTTTATGGTAATGAGAAACAAGAAGATGGAAATGCAGACTGACTATTGAAACATCAGCACTGACAATTACAGGGAGCTTTAAAATAAACAAAAAGTATATAATGACAATTAAATGATTCAATAATTGGAACAATTATGCCTTGAGAGTCAATGGATACAAAAGCAGAAGGTAAAAGGAAAGAACAGCACAGCTCTACAGCAGTGCACTAACAGCATAAGATGCAAGTCAGACTGAATCTGTAGCTCGTGGAGATTGGAAGTGACAGCAGCAGAACTCAGGTGCTTTCCATCTCAGCATAGATACCATCAGTCTAGGGCATCAGAAGAAACTTTGTCCTTTTCACAGAGGAAAAGGACAGAATTCCCCTTCTCTGGAGAAACACCACACATACCTTTGCATTCCTGCCCTCAGGGATGCAGAGTAGCGCCAGTCCGGGTTGGGGTGTTTTGGCTGTAGAAACAAAAGCCCAGGACAATGCTGTTAGTGGCAGTAAAACATGCTAGAAAGCATCTGCATCTGGCTAATTTTGTCAGAAATACCTATATGGATATAGTAAATTTTTGTGAATTGCCAAATCTCCCTATAAATCGAAAGAAACTTTCAAATGGGCACACAGGGATTGTATGTGCAATAAACTTGTCTGCACACCAAGGCCTGTGGCTGGAGATGATCTCTGTGGAACAACATTTAATGCTGCAAACTGGTGGAAAGTTATTTCATACATTCATCAACATTTTGGGCACAGGATAAAATTAACAGCATCAGAAATCCAGAAAATACATTGTTTGTTTACCTGATAAGGTGAGGAAACTCAAGTTCCTGCACTGAATATTATCTGCCTGAGGGTGTATAAATGTGAGGGGGACGTGGGGCAGTGAAGTTTCTGCTGGAATTCAGTGTACTGCAGAGGACTGCAATGGATGGGATCAGATTTGCAGACTGCAGCAAGTCTTTTATTAAGGGCAGACATGTCCACAATACCAAAACCTATTAGATTCTCCATATTCATGAGAGGGCATAAAAGGTAGAAGGGGAAAATAGACAGCAATGCCCTCTGACCAACAAACCTCAGCATATGCTGATGTGCTGCAGCATGACTTGCTAAATAAGGAGTTAATTAAGAAATCCTCTGTTGATCAAAAACTGCTCCAGAAAATAGTTTTCACATTGTCAGGGGACTGTCACTGTAATTTTCAACTACAGCCTATGAGTGCAAGCTCAGGTCCCTTAAAATTAAGCCCTGAGGACATACCAAGGTTATTTCTCAGGATACTAAAAACATTATTCAGTAGGTGATATTGTAGTGAGTGCTTAAGTTCAGGCACTGGAACCCAAAGACAGAACTTATATCCAAAAACATAATGGGCTACATTCATTCCTGATGTGTCTTGCACGGTGCCAATCACACAAATAATAAATGACAGTAATGGTTTAATTCTCTTCAAATTATTGGAGGCAGATCAGGAATGAATTTGACCCCATTACTTGAAAGAGAAAAAGAAAGTGTTGAATGTTCTGAATTATTTAAAGCCAACTCTGTCTTTCCTCTTGAGGTTTGGCATATGCTTTTCCCTGGATCAATAGGTTTTATTCAAACAAAAAGGGAGCAATTACAACTTACAGTATTGCTCTATCACCACACTTCCCAGGTCCAGCATCTCACTCAAGGCTGAGATGCTCTTGGATGATGCACACATGAGTCTTCTTTATGGTCTGAGTTACACAAAAGGGAGGAGGAGGCTGCTGTTTGCAACCACACATTAAACATCTGTGCTAGCAATTTCCTTCCCATTTAGCCCCCTGTTCTCTGTCATGCTCAGGTTATGCTGAGTTTAGCAGAAAGGGGTTTGACAAGAAGCCCATTATGCATAGTTCTAGTCTTTTCTGATTAATTCCATTTTGGCCCCAGTCCCAGGGATGTCAAAGCAACTCTAAAGTCAACCATGTAGTAACAGTCAATGAAAGAGGGTAGAGAACAACACACACTGATCAGAGCCTCTCCTGAGTTTGCCTTTCTTGAGTATGAAGGGTGATGACACCAGAAAATTTGTCCTTTTTTCTGCTGGGGGTTTTGTTATAGCAGGAGAACTGCTGGACTTCTTGTTCTATTTGGCAATTTGAGAGGTGCAGGTTATTAACTTGTACAGGCTTGTAGGCAATGTGAGGAGGAGGAATCTTACCACAGTCCCAGGCAAAACACAGATAAAGTGGGATTACATGAAAGCACTGAAAAAGTCTGACACGAGTTGGGTAGGAGTGAGAAAAGAGGAAAACGACCACTCACTCGCAGTACACAGATTTTTGGGTTTTGGATGAGAACTTTCCAATTCCTGGCTAAAAAACAAAAATCTCTGTTCTGTTTGCAATGGGACATCAGATCTTATATGGGTGACGGTGGCAGGAGAAACTCATTAGTTAGAAATGAAACATTTTTTCACTTCACATGCATGGACCAAGACTCCTCATGTCAATACAGGAGAAACTAGGAGACTGGTGTTTTCAAGGGTTACTGTCCAGAAGCTCTGGCATCTTGTGGCTATTCCCAAACAGTTCTCTCTTTGCTATGACTCCTTGGGTAGGGCAGCAGTGCTGTTCCCAGAGGAGCAGAAAAAGGAAGGAGGGAACAGGATGTTCCTACTCTGGAGGTGGAACTATTGCCACAGCTGACCGTCAGAGGCTGGGGGCATTTTTAACTATGAAAAAAAATCAATATCTGTGACTTCTTGTTGAAGTCATTAGAGGAAGAACCAAAGCACAAGGAAGTTGGGCAATAGCCTGCCTTTGTGCAGACCTATTTTCACCCAGTTTTACCACATGCTTGCTGCTTGACTGGGTATTTTCAGAGCTCAGCAAGAGGCACATTTGTCCCACACTTGTGTTACCACAGGCCAGTGTCCTGCAACTGACAAAATCAGTGAAATTTCTATTTTGTCAGCACAACTGGCTTCTCCCTTTGTTCTGCTACAGTCTGTAATTCTTTCCATTTCCCTGGCCATAAGTGAAAAGTTGTTTCAGTACATCTCTAAATGAGGCTGGACTAGAAAAGCAATAAAGCATGACCAGTAACAGAGGTTGAGCACAGAAAAAGCAGCAAACCTATTCAGGAATATCTCTTCCCAGCTCAGCTGCAGCAGTGCTGCTTCTTAGAAATCCATGAGGAATTCACAGTCTACAAGCTTGGGCTGGTTTATATCTCTGCTTAAGAACATTCCAACTTCACCATCGCTGAAACCTGCCAGGACAGCTTCTCCGAGTGGAGCTGGGTCCTCAGGCAGTCCCAGGAGCTCTCAGTGGGCTCCTCTGCAAAGCCCTGTCACAGATCTGGCTGTGAGATGTGCAGTGTGTCCTAAACCAACCCCACCAGGACAAGGCACAGCTGTGTGAGAGCACAGAGGGAGCACAAAGAGGAACACAGGCTCTGAAGGGGTCCGAGTGCTTCCCAGCTGTAAATCCCCACATTTTCACTATGTCATACAATGCTGATGAAGAAAATATTGCTCCTTTTACCTCCCCAGCTCATTGCAAGACTCTGTTTATCACAATCCAGCACATTCTACTAGGTTGAAGGTAATTTTATCTTGCCACTTCCCTGAGAGATTTTTGGAAGTCACGTAGCAAGTCCAGCAGTCCTGTCAGTAGGTGAAAGAAATCCCATGACCCAGCACAGCAGTAATAAACCATTCCCTTTTTTCCCATCAGTTGCTTTTTCTGATTCAGTTACAGCCCATCATCATCACAGTGTGAGAGGAGGCAGAATCTATCCAGGTGCCCATGGAAGTGGTTGTCACTGCACCTCATGCCACCAGTTTGCCCCTGCTGCTTCTTCCAGGCACCAGGCTCACATTTGCCAATCACATAACCACAGACATTAATGTTTCTGGTCATAAAAATCTGATAATGGGAATGTATAATGTAAACTAGAGCCATCTTAGGAGCAAGAGAGCTCATGCAAAATGTCACACAGTTGTTTTCAAGTGGGTTAACTGAAGAATTGTTTCATTGGTTTGGGGAGAATAAATTCAGTTGGAAATCTATTGTTACAAACATTTTCTTCAGCTCTCTTTTTTACCTAATACAGTAAGAATTTCTCCCTGGGGTAGGATAAATTTCTAATTTTTTAAAATATTGCCCTGATCCCATATTCAATGGATCAATGCAAACACTACCTTTCACTTCAGTGCTTGCTAGAACAAAACCTGCTTGAGGTAGAGAAGCGTGAATCAAATATTTACAAACAGTTACCAGATGCTGAGTCTCATAAAAACATCCTGCTTCATTCTGATTTCCACACAAATGCACAACAGAATGACATAAGGTATATTTATCAAATGTATCTGCTTTGAAGCATTAATAAAAGCCTTTTAGAACCTCTAACCACACAAGGGTCTGCTTATTTTCCAGTCAGACAATGCTGAGAGGTATGAGGAAACAGAGGCTTCTATTCCTGCTTTCCTTCTGTAAATGTTTAGAATTAACTTGATGTGGAGAACAAACTATTTTAAAAATGTGTTTATCATTCAAGAAATCAAAAAGGAAACTGGAAAAGGGTGTAATTCAAAAGCCCAAAGTCTGGCAATGTTCATTTGCATTCCTAACTCTGAGAAAACAGAGGTGAAGGGAACAGACAAGTGATTCTTTAAAGTGCATTTAGTGAGTTCCAAGAGGAGGAAAACACCTCTGCTTAATCTTGGATGCAGATTTCTGCTGGCACAGCAGAAGCCTCAAACGCAGCACCTGAGTGGCCTGAAGCACAGAGCACTGTCCCTGCTTAGCTCAGACACTGCCATCAAACAAAAGAACAAACATTTATAGTTAACCTTTTCAATGTCAGCAGGGCTGGAGAATTTCTTAAAGGCTTAAGTTCTTGAACTAGATTGTAAGACATTCCACCATTAATACCTTTAAATCCTCTGAGAGAAATCTCCTGGACAGACTGCTACAAACAGTGCTCTGGGGTTACTAGGTTTAGACACTTCAAAACATGTTTGCATTTAAAGCAGTATCAAAATGTGTTCAGCTCCAGTGTTGCTTTGTTTTTTCCATGTGTTTAGCAAGCTGGTTTTGAAGTGAAAAATACAGAGAAAGAGACAGAAGCAGAGCAAACAGCTCTGCTGTAAAATTCCAATGGATCTCCTGAGTCTTACTACCATCAGTGTGCAGTTTTTCCCACTTTCTTTAAAAGGGTCCATAGGGAAACACACTTTATTTCTGACCAATACATGAAATATCATATTGTTTCATCCACATGTGTCACCACACAAAAAAGGGTACAAGGAAATGTATAATATAAAAGATTCAGTTCTATCCAGTATCCCAACTTGATAATTAAGAATGTGCCAGGCTGCCTTCTGGGACAGAAAACTCCTGTTAAAACATTTTGGTTTGATTGTTATTTCCTGCATTGAAAGGAAAAGGCTGTCATGAGATGCAAGGCACAAGAAATGAGCTTAACTGCACAGGATGTAAGAACAAAATAGGAAAGATGAAAAGAAAAACCAAGGACCAGACACTACTCAGACATCATTCAGCATCTTCACAGGAATTTGAGGAAACAGACTCCAGACTAAAGGACTGAAACCCTTCCTGAAAATGACAGATCATCACTGCAGCAGTGCCCAGTAACAAAATCACAACTTCTCACACAACCTCTTCATTGAGTGTGCACCCCTCTTTCAAAAGACAGGAGCCCAGGCTGCCCATAACACTCACAGCACCAGAAATGAAGCCACAGTGGTTTTTTATCCCTTGATTTTGCCTACACTGCCTGCCTGGTCCCTCTGCAGTAGTTATCTGATGAGAGAGCAATATCCATTAACCCCGCACTGCTACCCTTATCACCAGCCTCCTGACAGCAATAACCATGCCCAGCATTTTCTGTGCAGCTGCATTAGTGCATTTCCTCTTTTACAAAACACCCTTGGTCTGAGTCATGCCTATCAATCCATAAAGGACTGTGCAGGTAAGAGGGGGAGCACAGAAGTAGCAGCTATCTTGCAGAAACAAGCTTCCATTCCACCATCACAACACTGACAGTACAAAAGAAATAGCCACACAGGAGTCAGAACTCACCAGGTACAAAAAAGCCCCTGAACAACCTTATTGCACTTGTTTGCACTTCTGCTGTATCCTTCTAATGGCACAATAGTCAGTCACAACTTAGTGTACTTGTTAGCATCTTTGACCTTACCAGTAAATATGAAAGGAACTAAGACTTATTGCCCCAAATGTTACTGAGATTAATCCCAAATAACTTGGAAATATTTTTCCTCTCACTGTACAAACAACATTTAAAAAATATTAGCCAATGTAAAACCCTAGGTATGATTATCTGTGCATTGCAAACCCATTCACCTGGTCCCATCCTCATAAATGAAAAACCAATAGAAAATCCGAGAAGGGATTGCAGTTTTTTTCCAAAAACTGTGTGGAAGAAAAAAAAAAAAAAAAGAAAGGACCTGTTCACATTATCTAAAAGCAACACACAGATCAGAGACTGACTTTGTAAATTGGTGCAAGGACAATACTGCCTTGCTATGCCTCACAAGTGAAGGCGCAGGCTCTTAAAGGCTGATTCAAAGTTCACTTTAACTAAAAACAGAAACACAGTTCTCTGAAAATCTAATAATGCAAAGATCATTATCCTTAAAATGTAGAATTCAGGGTTGCTAAGCAATTGATGGCATCTTCAGTGCAAATGCTGAGCTTGAAACAGGGGAGAGATGTGACTTTCAGTGTGTAATTAGCTAGGAACTACTAATTAGTGAGTGCCATTACATTTAGCCATTTCCTCATGTGCACATGGCCTTGGTACATCTTTATAGAATGTCCTACCACAGGACAGGTTAAGAAGCAGGAAGTAAAGAATTTGTGATGAGTAGAACTTGTCGGAACTTCACCTCTGTTTACATCACACAGAACAAGTTCAATAATTGATTCTCTTGGATGACAACTCCACACAGGCAGCACTCACTAGTTTGTTCTATACATTTCCCTGGTTTTGTACTCCAAGTTTGGGCTGGCTTTGCTGCCACTGCCTGATCTCTGCGGGTAATCAAAGCTTGCTAATTCCTTGCATTCAATGGAGTGAGTCTCAAAATGTGATAGGAATCTCTGATTTCCTACTTGTCTTGCATCCAAAGTGAAGTAATTTTCAGTTAGAGCTTTTCTTCTTGCACACCTTCCACCCAAAAAATCAGCTGTGCAGTGTGTATTTCACTCTTTGATTCCTCAGCATAGATGCTTATAGAGCATGTCCCATATTCCCTCCTATATCAAACATATTCCAGGCATTTTACTACACTCAGAAAAATGTTAAGATACAAAAACTACAGAGAAAAAGTACTTTCCCTGTACCCTGCCACTGTGATTTACAGAAAAACAGTGCATTAATTTTAAATGGATTAATGTTGAATGGATGATCATTACTCACTAAAAGCATTTTTAAGGAAGACTTGCTGGCCCTTAAGATATGGGCACCTTTGCTCAACAAAAACCACTTGATAAATATGCTAACATCTTCATATGTGAAAAAGTAGAAATAAATAAATAAATGAGTACTATTTCTGTGGCAAGAATACACAAGACAGGCTCCTTTCTATCCCACCAGTTGTTTCCCTGACTTTCCCCTGTCTGGGGCATAGCACACATTAATGCACAAACTGATCTTACACCTGCCACAATTATGGGATACAAACAACACACAGTAATGGCAAGATTTTCCTTTTGTGCACCAGAATTAGTCTCTCCTGTGAGTGCTGCTGAGTTCAGTCCCAACATGTGTAAAAAGGAAACTGCACAGATCATGCAAACCACACACTAGCTGCAGGCTTCCTGCACACAAGCATAAAGCAACCATTAATTCATCACTGTGGGAAAGTATTGCAAAGGTTAATACACAGCTGATCAAACCATAGGTATTAAATAATTTTCAATAGGAACCCAGCAGGTTTGAAGTTGTCACTCTGTAACTTAAAGATGGTTTCTTGCTGTAATTCTCTACAAAGATATCACTGGGTTGTCAGAGACCAGAAAGCATGAAATGCAGCACTGGGTAGAACTAACATTATCAGAGAAGGGATTGCAGTTTTTAGACAACTAAAACACGCTCACATTAGCAAGATCCTTGCAATAATATGCTTTTCTAAATTCAACAGATTTAGGTAGGAAGACAGCAAAGCAGCAAACATCAATAATTGCCATAAAGTAACTTTTTGATTTCAAGGCTAATCACTGATTATTTTTTCTCCTGCAATGTGAGTTTTCCCATCAAAACTGTAAGATTAGATGTGTCATTCCTCAGCACTCTGTAGCAGCAGGCAATTTTAGACAGGGAAGGATGCAACACTCAGTACAGCATGTGCTGCAAAAATGAGGCGAATCTCGAACAACAGACGCATATACTGAACTTACCAACTGCACCCTGAAAGTCTCAGTATTTACCTAGAAACAAAATGCATGGCATAGATTAGATTCATTATGACAAATTTGCAGAGCTGAGTGTCAGCAAGCCCCTAAGGGAATATGCTTCATCTGAGTTTTCCAGTTGGAACCTCTGCCTGAGTACAGATTTGCTCAGAGCACTGTGCAGACCATTTACCAAGGTAGCCTCACCTCATTAGGAGTAATGGAGTCATTTCTAAGTATGATCAGGTTTTGTGCACTCTGCCCACTTTGTCCTGTCAGATGCCTCTCAGTCACCACTGCAGAGGGACCAGTAGTTCCTGTTGGGCCACAGGTATTGTAAAACATGAAAGTGTCACTTCCTGATCCTGCAGTCAGGCAGGCCTTATAGCAGTAGGTCTTAGTGAGAGACCCATTGCCCCTCACTTCAATGAAATGGGGCTGCACTTTTAAACCTTGGGGCAATCTAGCATCAATGTTGTTGTTGGCCTGCTTGTACAACTCAGCAGGGTTCCGTTCTCTGACCTTACAGCACCCTGCACAGCAGGAGCTCCCATACAGACTGTATCTGTAGCACTTGATGATAGAAAGCCCAATGATTGTGAAAAGGAAAACGAAGGAGACAGCGCTCAAAGCGATAATGAGATAAAGAGTGACCTCTGAGTAATTGCTTGGGCTTTTAAAGTGTCTTCTTCTATCAGGGATGATTTTGGAAACTCTGTCCACCACAGCAATAGTGATGGCTACTGATGAGGACATCGATGGCTCTCCATTGTCTCTCACCTCCACCGTCAGGTTGAAAGTAGGTGTGCTGTCCTCCCCCAGCTTGCGAGTAGTCCTAATCTCCCCAGTATGGAGCTCTATCCTGAACAAACCTGGATCTGAGGTTTGCACCAGGTAGAAGAACAACCAGGCATTTTGTCCCGAGTCCCCATCAATGGCTATAATTTTGGTTACCAAATATCCAGCATATGCCGAGCGTGGGATCATCTCCAGGGCTGCAGAAGTGTTCGTTGAGGTAGGATACAGAATCTGTGGAGCATGGTCATTCTCATCCACCACGTAGATGTAGACAGTGACAGTGCTGCTCAGTGGTGGGACCCCAGCATCCTGAGCCTGGACAATCACCTGGAACTCCCTCAGTGTCTCATAGTCAAAGGACCTGACAGCATACATGTTGCCACTGTCAGATTTAATGGAGACGTAGGAAGCAACCGGTAGCCCTTCAATCTCTCCATCAAGTAGAGAATAGGACACATAGGCATTTTTGGCGACATCTGGGTCAGTGGCTTTAATAGTGCACAGGAAGGCTCCGAGGGGGTTGTTCTCAGGGATGTAAACTGAGTACACAGGCTCCTCGAAGCGTGGAGGATTGTCATTGATGTCGGAGATCTCCACATGGATCACCTTCTGGGAGGACAGAGGGGGGCTCCCAGAATCAGTAGCGGTAACTGTGATGTTGTAGGCTGCTGCTTTCTCATGGTCCAGTTTGCCCTGGGTGACCAAGGTGTAGGAGTTCTTGAAGGAGTTGAGAGTGAAGGGGAGGCCAGGGGGAATGCGCAGGCTCACCTGCTTGTTCAGCCCTGAGTCCTGGTCAGTGACACTCATCAGGGCCACCACAGTTCCTGACCTTGCATCCTCTGGCACTGGGCTGTACAGGGAGGTCAGCTGCACTTCAGGAGCATTATCATTGGCATCCACAATGTTGACCAGCACCTTGCAGTGCCCAGCCATAGAGACAGGGCCCTGATCAGTGGCTTGTACATAGATCTCATAGGAGGATGCCTCCTCATAGTCCAAAGTGCCGTTAACCCGCACCTCCCCTGAATGTGGGTCCACACTAAAGAGCTGTCTCACCTTCTGGGGGGTGTAGCTGCCAAAGGAGTAGATCACATCCCCGTTAGAGCCCTCATCTGGGTCTGAGGCATTGAGTTTGACCACTAGCGTGCCAGGCAGGGAGTTCTCCAGAAGGCTCACGGTGTAGGTGGAGCGGTCAAAGGCAGGTGGGTTGTCATTGGTATCCACAACTCGCACAGAGATCTGGGCTGTGCCAGATTTGGGGGGATCCCCACCATCCACAGCAGTCAGCACCAGCTGCTGCAGGGCACTCTGCTCCCGGTCCAGTGGCTGCTGCAGCACCAGCTCCAGGAGTTTGCTGCCAGTCTGGAAGCCTTTAAGGTCCAGGGCAAAGTGGCGATTGGGGCTGAGCAGATAGTTCTGCACAGAGTTGGTGCCCACATCGGGGTCCTGGGCACTCTCAATGTGGAAACGGGCCCCGGGCACGGCAGACTCACTGATCTCCAGCCGGTAATCCTGGCGGGGGAACCGCGGCGCGTTGTCGTTGATGTCCAGCACCTCCACCTCCACGTTGTGCACCTCGATGGGCTGCTCGATGACCAACTCCAGGCTGAGGAAGCAGGAGGGGCTCAGCTCGCAGAGCGCCTCGCGGTCCATGCGCTCCCGCACCAGCAGCGCCCCGCGGCCCAGCTCCAACTCCAGGTACTGCCGGCCGCTGCCCGAGGTGATCCGCGCTCCCCTGGCCGCCAGCCGCCGCGGATCCACGCCCAGGTCGCTCGCCACGCTGCCCACGAAGGCGCCGTGCGGCAGCTCCTCCCGCACCGAGTAGCGGAGCGGCCCGCCCGCCGCCCGCCCGGCGCACAGCCCCAGCAGCAGCAGCGGGCCCAGCACCGCCGCCCCGCCGGCCCCGCCGCCGCCCGGTCCATGCTCGCCGGCTGCGCGAAGCGGCGGCTCCGACCTCTCTCCCTCCGGCGGCTCTCAGGAGGATGAGGAGGAGGAAGGAGGAGGGACCGGGACTTGCCGGATCCGCTTTCTCGCGCTCCAGCTGCTGCGCGGGAGGAGGCGGGGGTGGACGCTAAGCCGCGGCTGGCGCCGGTTCAGCACCTGGGCCGGGAACAGCGGCTCGGCGGGCGCCGCCCCGCGCCCCGCCCGGCCCCGCCGCCCGCGCCCACGTGTTGCGGCCCCGCCGAGCCCCGGGACCCCGGCGCCGGTGGCCGCCGAGCCTGGAGGGGCGCGGCTCCTGTGCCGTGCCGCCGCTCCTCGTCCCCGCCCCGGCTTCGCTGCTGAAGGCTTGGGGAGGCGGCTGGGGGAGCTGACAGCTGCATTCACTTGTGGACCTGCTGCTGCAGCGCTGAAGTACGTCCGCTGGAGAGGGTTAAATCAGCGCAGAGCTCCGAAAAAAAATGGGCTTCCAGCCAGGTCTGGTGCCGTTTGTGTGCTGCTGCAGTGGGTTTGACGACCTCTTTCTTGGAGACCTGCCCCTCTGCTCCCGCGGAGATTCATCCTTGCTGCAGCACCATCCCCCTGCCCAACCTCTATGGGCACCCCTGAGCTGCTTGCCAGTTCTGCTCGGCTGAGAGAATTCTGCAAGTCACACCCATGAGTTACGAGCTTTTAAGGTGAGCCTCAGTTTCTCATCCAATGCAATACACAGGCTCAAGGTGATCAGGTGCAACTGCAGAGAAGGTGGAACATGATCTGTTTTCCAGTTAAGAGTTTTTTCCTCCTCTCCTCTTGTGACAGAGGACTGACAAAAAACAGTCATGAAATTGAACAAACTCAGCAGTGGGGGTGGAGATGCTGCACCTGCAATGAGTTTTACCCCAATGTCAAAAGTCCCAGCAAAGACAATGAACTTAAACCACCTAAGTCACTAAAGTGAGAGATTTATGAGCTAAACCATAGGCTACAGTCCTCCAGGTGCTACCCAATTCACAAGCTCTTTCCCTGCAAGTGTTTCTTTCCCTACTGGGTTTTTTCCCCTTTCTTTCCCCATAAATACTTTTGGAACATCCAAAAAATCCTCTGTGGATTGATCTGGTCTGTCAAGGGGAGGGGTGACCCCAACATTCAGCTAAAACCTCTTTCATTGCCCTTTTTTGGCCTGGGCACCCCTCACCTTGAGAACACTGTAAATTTCTAATGTTTTACTCAAACATATCTGATGCACAAGCCTCAGAGGACAACTGCCCTCACTCTGACTCAGCACCACTAAGAACTGCTACCAATCTATCAGCTTTTGTCTGTGGCCACATCTACCAGAAGAGACAACATTACTCCATTTTGGCTGATGATTCCTTTATTCTCAGCCCATCTTTGTGGCTCAAATATTTTCCCTTGTATTTATTCTGATGTACCCAGTACCCCAGTATCTGCAATTACTGCTGTCAAACCACCTGTCCTGGCTTAGGGCAAATTTGGGAGAGAATCTTTGAAGGAGGTGTCCTGTCACCCCAGGACACCACCCAGCACTGTTTTTATTTTTAAGTAGAATAAATGTAGGTCTGTGCAGACCAATAAGAGCATCTAGAGATGCCAAGTGCCTCGAACAACTGGAAAATTGCCATTTAAACCAGTTGCCAGCAGCTAAACACTTAGAAAAAAATTAACTTCAATTTTTTGGCTAGGTACCCACCTTCAAGATCACAATATTCACAGATTCAGGACAAAATATCTTGACAGTCCCCCCCCCCCCCCCCCNAAAAAAAAAAAAGTGCCAAACAGCAAAACCCCCACCCATCAAAGAACCGAGTACCCTGCTGACTGCAATAAAAATAAAAGTTATAGCAGCACTAACATACATGGGCTATACAGCCATGTGTCAAACTAACTTGCAGCCATCATGTAAGACGGAAGCCTGAAGAGAGACACCCTGAGTTTTCCAAAAATCATACAATGATTTCACCAGATAGTCCCCAGATCATCTCTGCCCCACACCTCCAGGTGTTCACCCACAGAGTCCTCTAACAAACATACAGAACACCAATAAAAGGCCAAAAGCCCCAGCAACACTGCTAACATCTAAGGCCCTGCCTTAAAGAATATGACAATGGAAACTCTCCAGGAAATGGGCAATGCCCGTGGCTGGGAGGTGGTGGAAGATCAATCTCGTCTCTGTAAGCAACAGCTTTCTACCGCAAGCTGATTTTACTCTGTGTGAATGAAACACATCAATCACACCTCCAGGGGGGTTTAGTAACAGCGAGGAACCTTTCTCACTGTGTCTGGGCCTCAGTGAGTTACCTGTGATAGACATTCAGGCTCTGCTGTAGTGTATTTCAAGAAGGAAGGGCTGATGAACCCCAAATCCTGGCCCACCTCACTGTTTACATTGCCTCAGTTCATCTTTTCTCTCACCCTCTGTGTCAGTGGGCAGCTGAGACTGTGCACAGCCAAAGTTTTGCAAAACACCACAGAACATAAAACTGAATAGAGATAATACATATATTCCATAATATATTCATTCCCATCAAACTTGTATCTCAACCTCAAGTTCTTAGAAAATTTTTCTCCTACTTTTAGAATTGTAAGATCTAGGATTGCCTGGCCTCTTGCCTTTTTTGTAAGTTTTGTAGCACCAATAAAATATTACTCTGATAGTCATTGCATAAATTGATACTATAGCTTGGCTTATTTACAGTAGCACTGCGCAAATGTCACAGTCTTTCTCAAAAAGCTTGCTTTATGAAGTTAATGCTGACTACAGAGTGGGTAAGTGATATACCAAAATGTGTTCTGTTCTGATTAAATGTTCCCCAGGTCCTTTTAAATCTATATAAAATTCATCAATGGTCATAATAATTTTAGTTATTTCTCTCAGCTTCAGTGTTAATGCTGAGTCAGTCCTGCAGGTTGTGATTTTAATTCAGGAAAAACTTCAATTGAGAAAACACTTCAGGATCTGCTCTGTAGTAATATTGATTTTTCTAGTAATAGACAAAAATTGAGACACAGAAAAATGTAATTTCAGTTTCAATTAAATCAAGGTTTAGGGGCTTCCTAGTTTCTTTTTTCCCCAGAGTTTTCCTTTTCAGTGATTTCTTGAAATTTCATCTAAGCATTAAAATTTTGAAACACCTTCAAACCTCACTAAAGAAAAATGTACCCATTGAGTTCAGAACAATGCACATGAGCAAGAGAATCAGAATTCACCCCTGCAGCAAAAGCAGCTGATAAAGCTGATAACCCCTGGAGTGATTGGGTACTGCCTGTCTGCAGTATCTATACACACAGGCCTCTGCTATTTGCTGACATACAAGAACTGCACTGCTTTAATTAGCTTGGCTAAATTAAATAGCACAAGTACAAACATACAGGTGGAGCAAAGAATACTGATTTTATCAAGGCCTGCACAAGAAAATCAAGTATATCTCAAGACAGTTATACATTGATGCATGTATACCCCAGCAGGCATTGTAATATGACTATTTTAGTATGGAAAATCCTCACATTTCTCCGCAAGTCTTCCTTTAAACTGTTCTACATGTAGATATTCCTGAATTAGTAGCAGCCTGATGCAGTGCCACAGAAACATATCTGTGCAGATTATTCTCTTGGTAATGACACAATTGTATACAGATACACCTCTGTAGGTATTTAGGCCCTTGAAAAGTTCATTCATTTCAAATCACACTTATACAAGTCATTTTTTAAATATAAAGTTGTAACAAGGATCTCATAAACTTGCTTGGGCAGCAATAAATTTCTGTTCAATTTGCTCCACTGCAGAACACTAGGCAAAGTCCCTCCTCTGGCTATGTCTGAGTCTCATACAGCAAAAGGAGAGAGAAAGACATATTGGAGACCAGAAAGATGTGGATATACAACATGTAAACTGAAGAACTCCAAGGTGTTTTTACATCTGAAAATTCATTTCACTTCTTTGTAAATAATTTCACTTTCAGTAACTCCTACCCCTTAAACATTTGATTCAATGACTCAGTGTCCTTTCTAAAGTGGTGGGAAGTCACCAGCTCCAAGCACTGGGCTCCAGATTTCAGAGCACGTAGATTTTTAGTAGCAATGAGATTGCTTGAGTACTGTATAAAAAAGACATGGTTTCAGCCTACTGATACAACTGTGTGCAAAAAATATGGAGACAAGTCCACAAAATCCATAGTTTAGCCATTAACAAACAGGTAATTTGTGTCATTCTCCAGAAAAAATTTGATTTCTTCTATGTGCCTGCTTGTATTTGGTGCCTGCAATTTGTCTGCCTTACTTAGAATTAAATCAAGTGCAGAGAAAGGAACATCCATCAGTCATAGGCCAGATTACATCAACCAAAGTGGAAAACATTACCAATAAATTGTAAGGGAATAATGAGTTTGTGCAGCTTCTTATACACAGTTTTTTTCCTGTGAGCATAATCTTCTAGTCCATGGGTTATGAAGCTGACAGAAAAAAACATTTTGGTATTTTAAGGGGGACTCATTCTACTTGTTCAGCTCAGCCCCATCTTTCACTTCATGTTCTTAGGATTCCTGGAATCTTCTGCAACCCTACTCACTTCAGTGAGGATCCTCTCAGCTGTTCTCTGAAGGAGACTGTACAGGGCTTTTTCTGGTGACTTCCCAGGCCTCAAGGACTGTCTGAGCAGGAAGATACTCCCTAGAGATGTGGCAGCATAAAGGTCTGCATTCTGTATGGAATTTCTTGGGGATGTGGGATTCCCACTTCTCCTAAAAATGCTGCAAAATGCCTCCCTGAGGGAATGTGAACTACTTATTTCTATACTCAATTTCTTTGCTCCTATGCCCCAGTCATCTTCCACACTTGAATTACTTGTTGACAAGTCATCTTTTCATTTGGAACCTGCCTCTCCCATATTTGAAATAGACAGATCCTGTGCCAAATTGCTCAGCTGGATTGGCTCTGTTCTTTCATGGCTTTCCTTAAATCCACTTTCCCATTGGTAGGAATCTAAGTGGTGAGAATTTCTTTTTGTATCACAAGCATCTGAAGTCAGGCTATTTAAAACATTGCTGTTATGGGAACCAAGGCTGCTAAACAGCCAGAAAAATCCTGTTTGTATTTAGGTCAGAATTTCTTTGCAATAATGTAACTTGCTTGTTCTAGAAAATGTCTTGTAAAGAAATTGGGGTTGGGGTATGCAGGGGGGTTGGTGTTATAAATTTCAATTGAGATAAACCACAAAGATACATAGAAAAAAATTGCTTTTCTTCTCCTGCTCACCAGAGTACTTTTCTTCTCCTGCTCACCATCATTTCTCACTTCTAGTCTAAATTTTGAGGATGGATATGTCTGACTCATTCTGTTTGTCTTCTGCTATATTTTTCTGATGACTTTAAAATGCTTTTGTAATTTATTGCACATAATGTCACACACTGTGCCATTCTAAATGG